ACACACACTTGGACTTGTTTGCTAGGACAACCGACTTTAGCTTTAGGTTAGGCCGGTGTTTATTTTCTTGTTGCTATGTGACGGGCTTTCTTGATTTTCATTGCATGCTGGTTGTAAAACTGTTGGTGTATTTGTTTACTTACTTTTACTGTATTATGTGATGTGATTTGGTTGACGATTAAATTACCCATATGTTAGGAGCGATCTGGTTGTTCACAAAATTTTTTACATGTGGCCACACTTGTGTAGGGAAGCAAAAAGGGGTTTAATTAATTAATAATTTTATAAATGCTACATGTGCTTCAACTGCTTAGCCCCCAAATAAAAAAGAGTGTGACCAAGTGTGGCTGATTGATTTAATTTAAATGCAAATATATAACTACTTGTGATGATTTTTATTATAAATTGCTTAGGATAACCCTATAGGTGGTCTAGATTTTTTTTAAAATGTGAAATGTAATGTAAATGTAAATGTGTTTGAAAATATTATAAATATGAAAGTGATCTTGAAAGTGGGATATTACATCCAATTTAGAATCCAAAGAAATGAGAATATTCCTTAAAAGATTTTTCTCTTTTATTTGGAAAGCCAAATTAGGATGATTTTAGTATCCAAATAGAAAAGAAAATATCCCTTTTTTGGGATGAGTCTCTTTTCATTTATATATCCAGGTCCGACAAATCCAAGGAGTTCGTAGAAGAAGAAAGGACAAAATGAAGAGATAGAAGAGAGAAGATGAAGAGATGAAGATACAAGAAAGAGTATATCCCAGTTCAAAATCACTTGCGTCATTCTTAGGATTAGAATCCGGGTTTGTTGTCAGTGGTGCCTGGCCACTTTACTTTTCTGCAAATTCTAGGTGTAATTATATGGATATTAGATATTGGATATTATATTTTGAATTATTTAATTTGATTGCTTATATTGTTTGTGCAATAATTTTTTAAGGCTCTTGTATGCTGTGTTTTGTTTTAGCCTAGATACGATCGGAGTGCCTTTTTTATAAGGGTACATATAAAATTCTTCTACTTGAAATCCTAATAAAATTTTTAGGCTCACATAGTAACTCTAACAATCTAAGAAGTAAGATCGGGACCGTTGAGAGTCAGCATAAGCATTATAGAATACTGTGTCAATCTCTCAAGATTGTACTTTATTCTCAATGTAGTATTTAATTACAAAATAGGACAAATCAAAATCTACGTGGTGATGCATTTTTTTCCCATCATATACGATTCTTATTTGAATTCAACTACTACAACCAGGATGACAACTTTCAGCCTCATTATTTGAACCAGTTAGCAAACGATATCTTTGCCTCAAGGGGAAAAATATTGTTCATAATGAGATGTTCAATTTTGAGACTGTGTATTCGATATCAAATTTCCCAAATAAGATTAGATCTTTTCAAAACTTCTCCAACAACTACCTCCGATAAACTCAAAATGATATTTGAAATGGGTTGGACATAACCCCAACCCATGGTAAATCATGGTTGATCGAAAGCTCCCTTAAGTAACTAAATGTGCAATTCAAACCTATAGACCCCCTTCCATTGCAAGAAACCTATTCTAACAAGCTTTAAATCATAATTGGAATGAGCCCCATATTGACCACTAGTCAATCTTGGATTATCAAGTCAACCTAGGTTGACCAATCGACCTTAAGGGCACTTAAACATATATTTCAAACCAAATGACATTCCCATTGTATGAGACCACTTCCAATAAGTCTAAAATGTGATTTTCAATTGGTTGGGTCCAGCCTTAACCCTTGGTCAAACCTAGTTGACCAAGTCAAACATGGTTAACAAAAATATATATAAACCCATCATAAGTTTAAAATAAACATTCCAAACCTTGCCAACCAAAATTAACCAATGGGGACTATCCATTGGGTCCCTAAAGAGTAACCCAAAAATGTTTCAGCACATAGGCCCACCTGGTTAAGCTGCATGGGAACAACTCATTCCAATTATGATTGCACCAATCCCAATTTGAACCAAAACCCAAACCTTGTGAAATTAAATTGCATAAATTCTTTCATCATCTATCCTTTTGACCTATTGCATCTATCCCGATAAGCCCAATCCATGGGTTGACCTAGGTCAACTAATTAGGCTAACCCAAACCTCCAAAATTCTTGAGCTCATTATCAACCCAACCCAAATTGAATATTATAAACCCTTGAATTACACAGTAGAACCTTCCTGGCACATGTTATGTCAATCCCTTGCCATATGGGCAACAAATGTGATAAGATTCCTCAAAACAACCTCCAAGCATTGATTGGTTATGTTATAACTTCTTGAAAACTGAATCACATGGGAAGTCCTTTCTTGGGTAAGTGGTCTAACTCCTATTGGCCGATCCCTAATTGATTTGGCTGCTGAGGTGGCATGCATTTGACCAAAAAGAGGGCTAGGAGCATTTTTTCTCTCCTATAAATACCCCACTTTTTTGAAGGAGGGGTTGGTTCATTGCATCCATAAGCTCCATAAAAACAACTCAAGCCTTCCTCAATCCTCCCCTAACCTTTTCCAGTTCCAAAATTCCTAAGTAAGGTGTCCAAAGAGAGAAAAAGAGAAAATCTTCCCATTTAATTAACTCTTCACCTAGTGCATTCCAAACCTTGAGATCTTCAAGAAAGATCAAAATTAGGTCTCCAAAAGTCCATAGAATCTAAAATAAAAAAAAGTTACACCATCTTGATTGAGGTATTTTCCTAATCGTAGCTTAGAACCTTCAAATTAAAATAGCTTTCTAAAAAGTGTGTTTTAGAGCTTCCAAACACTTCCACACTCTTCATCTGAGTGTGGGAAAATTATGTTTCAAATTTGTGGCTTTTGGATCAATATGCAAAAAGATATTCAACTTTATTTATTTGCTTCACTTTTCCTTTTTGCATGAGTAGAGTAAATTTATATAGATCATAAAGTACAATATGTTTGATCGAACATATCAAATAGGACAATCGTACTGAGTCAATTAAGTGGAAAATGTGTGAGCACACACAGTGCTTCCTCTGGATGACTTGTGTGTGCCGCCGACTCAATCATTGCTAATGATTGGTGCCAACACATTAAATAAGAATTAGATGTATTTTTAATTCTAAAAAATGCTATAAATTTTGAATAATCACCATAAATCCAATTTTCATCCAAATTTTGAGTTCTTAGGCTCATTGGAACCATCTTAAGCCTAATTTTATTTTAAAAATAATTTCAAAGAATTTTGACCATAATGTAGAGAGTAATTTAGGTTTGAATTTCCATTGATTTTTTTTTTTTAATTACTACCTAACTAGTGGAATTAAGCTCAAATTTGGATAGTGAACACTAGAGTATGAGTGCTACATACCCTAATTTTTCTTCAACTTTGATGATCAATGGATTTTTGTGAATTAAATTTTCAAAGTTGCGGGTCACAATTTGACCCAAAATTTTAGAAAATCATAGCTCTCAATGCACTTAGAATTGAGCTTGAATTTTTTGGGGTGTGTTTATGTTTATGCAAAGGTTAGCGTAAGACTGATTTTATCTTAATCTAAATAGTAGAGTGTCCAAATTAAATCATTAAAGTTATAGATACACTTTTCTTTGGTGATTGATTATGACACATAGGAAGGATTTTGAGAACTCAAATTCATAAGATTTGAATGAAATGTTTAGATGAACCTCTGTTTCAAATTTCAAAATATTTAAAGTTCATTTGGTCTGTCAATTAGTGAACCTAAAATGAACATACATACTTAACCTAAATTTTTATTAATTAATAATAAATACAAAATAAAAATCATAAGAAAATAATATAAGCATCAAGATACTCAAAATTAAATGCTTAAAAGAGAAAAATTAAAAGGCAGTTTAAATTTGTTTAAAATAAAAAATAATTTGAAAATAAGGAAAAATCAGTAAATAATTAAATAAAAATCATTAAGAATAAGAAAAAATTCTAAAATAATTTCAAACACTTATCCCTAAGAGTTAGTAGTGATATTTGAGGATGATTTCAAGAGGGTTTGAGTTGATTTAAAACAAAAATAAAAAAATTTTCTTTTAATTAAAAATTAATTATTTCATTAAAAGGGACTAAATGTATAAAACTAATAACTAATTAAAAAATAATAATCAAGACAAACTCAAAGGCGTTGAACTCATCATTGGATCTAATATTCATAAAAAACGAGTCATTATTGATATATTTTTGTACCCTTGATCTAGCTCTGGAAGTGGCGACAAAATAAAATTTTTTTAACGCTTTTCATCAAAAGCCCTTAGACTGACAACATAGAAGTTTAAGTCGATGAGATTAAGAATGCCTACTGATTTTCTCCCTTTACCCTAGTATGCATGACTTCCTCTCTCATGTCTTTAAAAAAAAACTTGCTATCATTATTCACACAAACAAGAAATTTTAAAAACTATGGATTTGTCAAACAACTAATTTTATAAATAATTTAGATGAGCTAATTATTTCATAATTTTATTGTGAGTGTCACCAATATACTTCTTCTATTTGGTTATGATTTTTTTCTATGTTTCATAAATTTTTTATAATTAGAATGAATTTTTTCTCAATTAAATCTTTTTGTGTGATAAAAAATTCTATAAAATTGTAAAGAACTCGACAGCTTTTCAGCATTAATCTTACAAGCAATTGTATAGCCCAGTAAAATCTAATCTCAATAGAAATTCTTAAAATTGTAAATATACTCATCACAATTATCAGTACTTACCACTTTATTTCATGCTATTTACATATCTAACACTCAAAACATTTACATATCTAACACTCATATAAAACTATAATATCAAATATACCACTCGTATAATTCATTTCTATCATTCATATATTCTTATAAACTTTAATATTTCATTTCTTGCACTAAAATTTATTCTATAGATGATAAAAATATAATATTAATAATTTAAATATTAGATATATAAATAGCATTAAATAAAATGGTATGTAAGTAAATCCCATACTAATAATAATGATGAGAATCGACTCTCCGTTCCAACTCTATACCGCTTTTACCCTGTAGCCGAAGAGACGAGAGAGAAAGAGAGACATCAGAAGGGCAACCGAACCGACGCTATGAAGCATTCTCCATCCTCGATCTCGAGTCCCAGCTCCACTGCCGCATTCGTATACTACATCCTACTCGTAATCCTCAGCCCTGCCACTGCCCTCGTTCGTCTCCGTGGCAGTTCCTTCTCTTTCACTTTCATAGATGCACCCGCTCGCTTCGCCATCCCCGTAGATGGCTTCGGCGCCTGTGGTTCCCTTCACATTGCCAATCCCCTCGACGCCTGCTCTGCACTACGCCATAACTCCTCCGTTAGTCGGGTAGACCCGACCACAGTCGATCGTTTTGTTCTCATTGAGCGCGGCCATTGCAGCTTTGACCGCAAGGTTAGGGTTGCGCAGGAAGCGGGCTTCCAGGCTGCGATCATCTTCGATGATCAGGACATAGGTTACTTGTACTCCAGTAAGTAGACATAAAGCCCGTGAAATGTTCATTTGGCTGAGCTGCTGATATGTTCGCCTTCTTGTGCTGGAATTGGCGTTGGTTTAATGGGTCCTAACAGTTACGATGATTGCCTCGCTCATTAGTTGTGAGATTCTGCACATGTTTTTGAACTTTTAGCTAGTAATGTCGTTTTGGGACGATTTTAAATCTTTCAAAATGGATTAATGTGCTACAAAACTAAGCTTGTTTTTGCTGTGGTTGATGCCTGGCGTTTTACTTCCTTAGCCAAGTGTTTCCGGCTTGATTGACTGTAGTGGTGTAAAATGCAGGATATGAAGTTTTTCAGGATCATCTTAACAAAATTTTCTTGCATCAACTAAATTTTTTATGCTTCAGCTTCCTTTAGAATATATCATTTTCAATGGAGATAACTCTTCGATTCCTCGGAAAGTAGATGTAGAAATGATGTTAAGGTGAATGCTTGATGGAGTGATAAATGATTAAATTTGAAAGTTGTTGGGACTGGTTCCTATTAAAGATATTTGAATTAAATTAAGATCAATGAGGGTTTCTAGTGAACCTTCTCCCAATGCAAATGCTAGTGATCTAAACTTTAACATAGGATATGGTAATCCTTCTTTAAATCTAGATTAATAAGTTCATTTAGTTATTTTCCTAAGTACAAGTTTGCAGTGAACTTTGAAAAAATTTTTGTCACAAAATCCAACAAAGTTTTAAGGTAGTGATAATGATATTTTCCAGAATTAACTGGCTTGTGTCCAACAATCATAGTGGTGGATTGGAGATCTAGGGTTAATTATTATTATTATTTTTTTTTTTGGAGTTTGTCTACCCAATTCCAAATTGAGAAAAAGAATGATCCATAAAACTCAAACAAAAACCATTCATTCCTAATGGGTATCTAAGAGTCAAGGGTTTTATTAAATTGGGTGTCTCTATAAGGCTTCAAATGAAGGATGATCAATCATTAATATGTATGGGTTAACATAATTAGAGTTTCAAAATGATATAATCTTGAAATAATCATGTAAGACGAATATTAGAATAGAATAGGATAATAGTATAAAATAGCTGAAATTATTTCTCTTTCATAAAGATGATTTCACCTTTAAAATGAAATTTGAGGATGATAAATCTATTATGCATTTCCCAGATCACTCCTTACTTGTTTTCTCTCTTTTATCTTCACTCTTTAATTTGTCTTTTTTTATTGTATTTTGTATACAGGACCTCTCCGACAACCCTGGTAACTTAACATGTGCAGTTAGCAATCTAGGCCATTTAATGCATTTTGGATGGTTGAGATGAATTCCTCATTTTTTTTAAAATTAGGGTGGTTTTGATGGAATCCGTTCCACTGGTCCATATGGAATGTGCAACTAAGAAGAGGATAGCTACAATGGTGTAGTTACCATTATAGTTGGAGAGATCCAAATCCTATTTTGTCACCTCCCTTATTTTTCTCTCTTCTCTTTTATTAGTTTTTCTAGCTTTTTTTCGGCTTAGATAGAGAGGTTGATTGATGTAAGTGGGAGAAAGAGGATAAGAGAGAGAAATTAGGAGAATAGAAATAGCTAAGACAAAGATGTAGACATCACATTTTCCTAGGATTTTGTGTAAGCAAGTGAGAGAAAGAGGTAGCATTACTCCTATATACAAAGTCCATTTTTTTATTTTTCTACTAGAGAATTGTTGGAAGAGAAAGAGCAGGGAGGTTATTTTGCTGGAAAGTTTGAATTAATAATATCATTAAAATATCAAACTGATTGAACTCCTATTTATCAATTATTGGAGCTTTATTTTAATTCTACTATAATGTTAACTACACATTGTTCTTTCAAAATTTTAATAAAATAGTATAGCCTTTTGGTAGATAATAAGAAATATAATAAAGAAAATTAGTATATAAAGTTGTGAAACTTTTGGTCAAACCAAGGTTTAAAATTGCGTAAATAAGCCTCGAGACGTTTTTCGTCCGTGAGGCGAGGCGTAAGCCTCAAGGCTCTGTGAGTTGTAAGCCTCATGGACGAGAATTGTATAAATGAGAATTATAGTATTCTAGAAAACATTAGTGGAAAACAATAAAATAGATTTAAAATACTCCATGTACGTTTAATCTCATCAATACTCTGCTCTGTGTTCTGCAGCTCTTCCTTAAAAATTTATGTTCGCAACTCGTACATGGAAGGTGCCTTCAACCCTCTCTCATACAACCCTACAGATCGCAACATATTGAAGTAGGCTGGCGATGTCGCAACATTAAATAGAATGACATTCTAAAAAAAAATCTTCCAATATCCATGCAAACAGGTACCAGCCACAGGCATCATCTGTGCTTGTCCTCTATCCTCTTTTGGATTAATCATATATTGGTCCATAGGACCTCGCACACCTCTATTATGTATAGTGGAGGAAGAGCTCTTTCCACTCTCGCTCCTGTAATAAACACATTGTTTGAACCTTTCATTAAATTGCTCATGTTGTAAATGTTTTGCAGTGGTACTCTTCTTCATGTAAGCAATAATTTCATCCTTCACCTTATCCGGCACATTTGCACACGGTGCTACGTTTTTATGAGAGCCGGATAAGTGTTCCTTCGTGCGAGTAACTCCACCTTTCACCACTTTATCACAAAAATTTCATTTCAAATACACGTAAGCCTTCTCACCGCCTCCTACGTTAACATTTACACTGTAATTCCAAGAAGGGTCCCTCTGCAATGATGTATTAGACTTTTTCTTGCTCTTAACCATGTTTCCTAAAGCACAGATGCAAAATAAAATAAAAAATCTCAAAAAAATTAAAACCCTAAATTTTCTATAAGTTGAAAAAAATTATACATTTAATTAAAAAAAACCCTAAGATTGGTTGAAGAAGTGTTGTAGAGGGCGGCGGGACCAAGAGCCTCATCGGTGTGAGGCGGCGCCGGCGAGAGAGGCTGCAGAGTCGTGCGGGAGAGGCGGGATCGGGAGCGTGCGGGACAGCTGCCGCGGGATTGCTTCATTCTGTTCGGTTCGGGATTGCTTCGTTCTTAGAAGGAAGAATAAAATGAGGTTTTTATTGTAAACTTAAGTGAGTGAGACCCTACATTGAGGCGTACGCCTCAATCAAAATTGCGCAATAGCGCCTCAAAGGTGCGCCTCATTCTCCCTGAGGCGTATGCCTCAGCAAACCCCAAAATTGCTTAGGCAATATGGCTATTTGGGGCCGAATTGCGTAGAGGTGCGCCTCTTATTGCGCAATTTTAAACTATGGGTCCAACCAATGAAAAGATGTCCACCAAGATAAAAATGTGCTCTCAATAACAATATCAAGCCTTTTATCTTACTACGTGGGATCAACTACATGAATATTTTTTTCTCCATTGTGTCGTGTTAAGAGTCAAATTCTCATTTAAATCTAGTAAAGAAAGGTCATTTCTAATATTTTCTAACCTAGTTTTTTTTAGTATACCTGTACCTTTTTTTAACATAAGCCAATTCTAAAACATTTTCTCTCCTAACTAGATCATTGTAAGGCTGACATTTTATGTGTACAAATCATCTAAGGCGACTCTCTCTAATCTTATCTATCATTGGAGCTACTCCAAGCTTTTCACTTATATGCTCATTTCATTTTCTGTCTCTAAGAGAAAGCCACCCATCCACCCACTCATCCACATCTCTGCAACACTTAACTTAATTTTATGCTTCTCTTTTAATGGCCAACATTCTGCACCATAAAGCATTGCAGGTCTGACCACCATCTTATAGAATTTTCCCTTAAGTTTGAGGGTACTTTTCTATCACACAACAAGCTTGATGTATCATCCAACTTGAGTTATACTAATAATATCCCTATCTATTTCACCATCATTCTGAATAATAGACTCGAGATGTCTAAAGCATGTACTCTTATTAATGATTTGATGGCCCAAAGTTACAATCTCTCCACTAGGTCTATTATTACTAAAATTGCACTCCATGTATTTGGTTTTGGATCCACTCAAACGAAATCCTTAAAAAAGGTGATGTCAAATAAGGGAAAACAAATTGGGAAATAAAAGAAGTTTCATTGGTTATGCTAAAATTTATTCTCTCAATGTGGGATCCTAGTCAAGAAAATCCTATTAGTATATAATAAATTCTTCAAAACCTGCAACAGTATTATCTTTTGTGTTTTTTATTGTAGTTCTTTTTCAAGATTTTCATGTTGGCTTCGCCAAGCTTTTTTGGCTGCTTATTGTTAATTTTTATTTTCTAGCGCCTTCCACTCTTCATTTTTTATTGTCCATGTCCATTCAAATTCAATTTAAATATCTAATTCTCCCCACATTTCACATATATTTAGCCCACTTCAATCCTTCTTGTTTTGTGGTTAATTCACTTCAGCACTCTTATTTATGCTAGTCTCAGCATGCATTCTAGTTTTCTTGTCTCCATTTAAAAAAGCTTCCGTGGTTTCTCAATCATGTTAATAAAACAAATCCTTCAATTAAAGAAAAGTTTATGGTTATTATTTGTTTCCAGTGTCCTTATTTGATATTGTCAAACAAAAAATTGCGAAGTTTCAAGTTTGGGATATCTTCATTAAAAAACTCTAGCTTTAAGTTAGAGTTTTTTTTTTTTTTTTGGTTGGGGGGGGGCATGAACGTTTTTTTTTTGGATAGGTGAGGGCATGTACGAAAAGAAAAAGTAAAAAAAAAAAAAAACAAAAGAATGCCCATGGAGTACTGAGACAGCATGACTTGCTCAAAATTTCATGATGGTACATCTATTCAGAGAAAAGCAAAAAGACTAAGACACAATTGAGTTGAAAGCAAAAAAAAACAAAAAACTAGTTCCACAAGGCAAAAAGAAGCTAAAAAAAGCATATAAAAAAAATCAAAACAGCCTATTTATTGTAAAATGCCAAAAATTTCGAAAAGAATTGTTAGAAATTATAACCTGCAAGGCTTATGTTAACATAACAACTAAGAAACAACCTATAGAAGAAGCAAAAAACAAAGCAACCTCAAT